AAAATGGCGGCAATTTGGCGGAATATCGAAGGACACAATATCGAAGGTAAAATACACTGCACTGTTACAAAAGTGGATGAAACCTCCTTTGAAATCTTCTTCAGCCATTTATGATTATGTAAAAGTACAATAACTGGATGATATTTGCGAGATTCGGCGATAAAAGCAAACAAGACGGCAAAATATGGCTGAAATCGTGCTTTCGTGGGGGGTAAGTGAAATAAAATGTATTATATTTAAATAAAACAATGACAATCCTTATGAAATCAACAATATTTATATTAAATTAAGCATAGTTTTTCACCCCATGATAATTGTTTTTAGGAAATAAGAATATTTCATTTCTGCCAGGCTATATTAGTTATTTTGTGCATAATCAGCAATTTACCTGGGGTGGTGCATTGTCATTTTCTGGTAAAATATTATACTTCGACAAATTTTTCCTTCCAATGACCACCCCTAAAAGCAACCCTTCTAAACACTATAAGCACTTCAGAAAGGCTATCGCTTTTCCTTTTCTGAAGTTAGAGCTATGTCGACACTGCCGTTTCAGGGCGGGGTCATTTTCAGGACTTTCGCCCCGGATTCAGGTTTTCGCACACATGCCATGTTGACCGCCATGGTCATTTTACCCTAAAACAGTTGAGATTACCTGTCCTAAATGAATCGCATACAAACTCATATACAGGTCCTAGACTAATGGAAGGTTATAGATTTTCTTTCTTTGGGAAAATCTGACAAGTTTATGTAAACCTGTCAAACCTGTCTGAATCCGCCCCTGATGTGAATGTTCGAGCGCGTGGTGCCGATGAGCACGTGAACTTATTTTTTGTAAGTGTGTTTTACTTTTACGTTAATTTGCTGCAAAAAAGGTGTTAATTTTTATATTTCTATCTTACTTAAAGACCATGTAAAGTCCGTTCTGCGCAGGCTTACATTCCAATGGTCGGGACCCGACCGTTGAAATGTTATTTTAATAACAAATTAAAGTAAAAATATTTCGTATATTTTGTCTTTTTGAACTTTCTTGAATTGAATCTCTAGTCTGTATTCATTTTCAAGCATAGCGAACCAGAAGAGTGTTAAAAATTCAGTATAATATATGTCTAATCATATTTTACAACTGTAGCACTGAGTTCAAAATGTAAACAAAGCGTTTGTTTACATTACTTTACATGGTCTTTAACCGTAGTTTAATTTAGTGCAAAAATTTTGACAGGGACAGGGGGTGCACATTTTTGTTTGGGGGGGGGAGGTGTGCACAATTTCTCCGAGGGGGTAGAAAACATCCGTCCTTGTTGTAACAGATGGGGGGGAAAGTGTTACTGTCATACAGCAGTAGCATTTTCCAATAATTAATTTTTAAGTGAACATAATTAACCAACCTGTGGAGGAAAAAAAACTGATGAACATGTGGCATTGCACACATGACTTTCTTAAAGTGACTGGCCCAAATGAAGGTCTGTTCACATGCCATGGTGTTAAATTGTGGTGGGACTTTTTCATCAGCATTGTACATTCTTTCACAGCTTCCAGCATTCATCAAATGGTTTGGGCAAGGGAAGGTCTCTTTTGGCAATTTTCATGCTATCCATGTGACACATGTTGTCATAAGCAAGGCAGGCGCCTGATGTCATCATCAGAGAACTCATTCTTCATCCCTTTAAATTTTCTGTAAAGCCATAGGATGGTTACTACAAGTGCTTGAGTTGGCGATTCAGACCTGAATAATAAAAATCATAAGTATAACACAATTTTACCATTTCACGGGTCCAAAATAAGTAGAACAAGAACTATCACAAAGACATTTATTTTCCCATTATGGTTAAAAGGTATTAGCATTTCTAATGTAAGAATTAAACGATAATCATTGTTGTTCATTAATATACTATAGTAAAGAACATAGTCGGATTTTCAGATTTTGGTTGTGAGGGGGGTGTACCAAAAATTTAGGGGGGGGTGAGCGACAGGGTGCGTAGTGTCGCTAAACAAGATGCAGCAGGGGTTTGGGGGCACAGTTGGTAATGAGGATAAGGGGGCAAAGCCCCCTATTTTAGTTCAAAATCCTTATTTTTAGTCTTACTTAGTTCAAAACCTTTATCTCAATCACACTACTGTCATTTATCCCAATGAGCATTTAAATGTTTTTTGCGGGTCGAACTTTTTCTAGGTGGGGTGGGAAAAATATTTTTGGGGGGATGCAAAATATTTTTGGGGGTGCACCCCCAAAAAATCCGTCTATGGTAAAAAATCATTTTGAGTTACACTGAACCTATCAGCTTATCAAAAACCATTTTACCTGTAAAGTGGCTGCCAGTACTCAATATGCCCACCAGCGCTGACAATAAAAAATATGCCTCTTGGCCAACTATGGAGAGCTTTCAGTCCACCAGTATCTTTGTTGCAGGATGTCTCCTCATCACAGGACTGATCTTTAACAAAGCTGGGATTTTTCTCCAAAAAATCTGTTGTTCCTTTCAAATTCAAAACGAATATAGTCAGGTGATCATTTTAGAAAGATGGAAATAAATCTGCTTTTGATTTTAATTTCCTTGAAATGAAGTTGCATTATAATCATTCCTGTCTTGTTTTGTTCCTGAAATACTTTCGAGGCAGGAAGCCATGTTTTCAGATGAACTTTTTATCAAGAATCAAGAGTCAAATGCATTTTAAAATATTTTTTAGATTTCATAGAATCAGTTAATGAAAAACAGCATAAACAGCTTAGTCAGACAATGGATGTGTGCCAACCAACCTTTTGATTCATCCATTAACTAAAGTACACACATTTTTAAAATATTTCTGTTTCCCCATAACCCCATTACATATATTTGGGGCATAGCATGAGGTTTGCATTAAATTTGCCTTTGCGTCCTAATATATAATAGCTACAAATCAATGTAAATAACTGCAGTACCTCATTGGCAGTTCTGCGTTTATTATTACATTGCCAAATGCCAATTCTGAAACATTTGCCAACTACTCAATCAAACTCAGATATTCTGCCGTTAACTAATGTTAAATTATTAATGTACTGTACAACATCATACAGTTGTGATTGGCTTGCTTTAAATGATAAACAATATAAATATTATCAATTTCGAAGTCCTCTCAGTGAAATTAATTTTATGACTATAACAAGCATAAATCATTTGCACTTAGAGGCTGTTTATATGGAAACCGCGCTGACCCACTTAGCAAGACAGCCTGGTAAGCGGGAAGAATTTCTCTTGTGTTTATATGAGAAAATTTCATCCTGCTTGCTGGGACAATTTTGTTGTTTTGACAGTTGTTAAAATTAGTTTGCAGCTGCATCTTTGAAATTTCATCCCAACAACCGGGCCAGCACGCTTGTGAGTGTTTATATGGATAAATTTTCATCCTGGTAAGCGAGATCTCAACTCTTTCAAGTGAGATCTCTGCAAATGGGCCAGCCCGCTTGTACATATAAATGGAAAGTAATTTTTACTATTAAAGAAAAACTACACAGCGAGATCTCGCTTACCGGGCTGTCTCGCTAAGTGGGCCAGCCCGGATTCCATATAAACAGCCCCTTGGAGGGTTAATGTAAGCTACATCATACTTCACAGTACCTGCAAGAATAGCTTGTTCTGAGATTTCTTCAAGGGCTATAGAAGTAGAAAAAAATTCATATTTGAAGTTAAAAACCATAAAATGAAAAACCAATATGAGTTTGAGAGGAGAGCAGACAAAATGAATAAAGTTAATGGCAAAGATTTGAAGAAATAAGAAAACTCATCATTATTTATACTACTTTCATTTACAGTAATACATAAAAGGGACATGATGGAAATGTGGTATATTAAAATGCTGACTTATATTTTAATATCAAATTACAGTAACCCAGGCTCTAGTGTATTTATGTTAAAATTAACTCAAATAACAAATTATACTGTACTGTGTTTATTTTACCAATAGATCTTGCCATTATATTAACTTTTCACCAAATGGCCTTATTTCTATGTTTGCCTGTTTTAACATGGCAGGTGCACATGAAGTTTATATCCCCATGTTTCCTGTATGTATTTGTTTCTTAGTTGTTGATCTTAAGTCCAATCATAATCTTATTGTTATCCCTTATGTGCGCAAAACATGAGTATAAACAACACACCAAAACCAGGGGAATGGTCAATAGTGAATAGAGTAAGGTAGTAGTCTGTATATTGAATAAATTGTACCCATACTGTACTACAGTCTAGTAGTGATGGGCGATACCACCAGTATCGGTTTGGATACGATACCGACAGTGGCGGCGCCAGGCTTCCAAATTTGAGGGGGCATTTGAGGGGCAAACTCAAATTTGGGGGGGGCAAGATGGAACTTTTAAAAAGGTCGCCCCTCCCAGGAAATTCGTCCCCCCCCTCAAAACGCGGCGATATTCCTAGGAATATCGCCCCCGGGGGCGAATATCCTAGGAATATCGCCTCCCAGGGGGGTGGGGCGAATATCCTAGGAATATCGCTCCTCTTTAGGACATTCGCCCCCCATATATGCGATGTGGTTTATTCAAATAATTTCGTGATACTTTCATCTTATTATTGCCTTACACGTTTCAGAATTTAACTCTTCAAAACTAAAGCTTTTTTGTCTTTTTTTGAAACGTATTATTGGAGTATTGGCAAGTTTTACCATTCAGAGATTTACAAACTAATACTGAAACTGTAAAAAAACAGTTTCATGTATACGCGCATTCACTAATGAGTAATGACAACTTATAAGCCATACATATCCCGATAACGACAGAACGCTTGTGTAGCCTTTAGTCGCTCTTAGTGACTAATAATTTTTTTTCAGGGGTGGCAAAATAGGGGGCAAAAAATAATATCGGGAGGGGGGGCATTTGCTCCCCCTTGCCCCCCCCTGGCGCCGCCACTGGATACCGATTACGTTTTGGTTAAAGCATGGATAATAAAATAAATGGATAGGAAACTAGCTGACGTGACCCAATGTTTTCAATGGGCTGATGGCGTGATTGGATGTTGAAACCTAGATGCAAACCAAATTCTCAAAAACGGCATGTTTAGCAATAATACAGCTAAACATTTTAGTCAAAGAGCAAATGAATATAACTACGTCATTCTACGATGAAATCTCTAAGTATTCCCAGTCAATTTTAGCAAATATTTCAAGCACTAAACAGTGAAAAAGGCATCCCAAATTTCGTTAAAATTGGGGACGCCAATTTCGAACTGTAGCTACAAATGTAAAAAAATACAAAACAAAGACGAAAAACATTTACCTTGAATACTTTGTCGTGGCTTAGGCATGTTTTTAAAACAATTGGACCGGTTTATGTTTCAATATTGCTCTTTTAAGGCGGAAAATATGGCGAAACAACAAAAATGCAGAGAACTTTGCTATACGCGTGACGTCACAGATTGCAACTAAGTTGTTTTTGCTTACGTCAGCAAGAGTCCTATCCATTTATTTTATTATCCATGGTTAAAGTATCGAGGTATCGATTACTCAATGATTACTTCCTCAGATTTTCAAAAAGTTATATATTTTTAACAGTAACAATTTGATCCTCCATTTAAAAAAAACAACACAAAAATTACTTTATTTCCCGCCTTTTTCATAATTTATGTCGGCGAGAATAAAATGTCAAATAAAGTATAAAGGAAGTTTGATTAAATTGATAAATGCAGCAAAATACCAAAAAGTACATAAATTTTATCAGAAATAACCAGGAAAACGATGACACAACTGCAGCATTATAATGAATGTCTAATTTTAAAGTAATTGAAGCACTTTTAGATGTCGTGCAGTATCGACTACTTCCTGTTTGGGCCTGGTATCGGGTGGTATCGATACCAAGTAACCGGTAATCGCCCATCACCTTCAGGGGCGGCGCTAACCCTCTTCGAGTGGGGGGGTGTGAGTGATCTTTTGCCGACTGTTGTTTGGTAATTTTGCCGAGTCATTAGCCTGTAGTGAGGGTCCTGAAGTGTGTGTGTGTGTGTGTGTGTGTGTGGGGGGTTCCCAATCCCATTTTCCACCTGAAATTTTGGCAAAATCCCAGTCCCAGTTGGATTTTTATTAGAAATGCCAGTCCGAGTTATTGAAATCCCAGTCAATAAAATACCCTTTATTTATCGGTAGAATAAACAGTTTTAAGACTTTTTAAGCCACCGTACGTGTGTGTGCAAGTGCCGGACACTTTATGAAATATTGGGGGGGGGGGGAAATTTTTAAATTTGAATCGCGGAAATGGCATTTGCATCATTCTGAGACACGCATAATCAGAAAACCCAAAATTCCGGGCGCCAGAGTATGCCTATCAGGTAATGCTGTGAATAATATACTTAACAACAAAAATCATGACTAAAGACACCAAAAACGGATCAAAATTGGGAATCGACTCACATTACTTCAATCCCATTCCCATTTTTGAGGACTTCATTTCCCATTCCCAGTGGCCAAATCCCAGTCCCAGCAACCCACATCCCATTTTCCCAGTCTAAAAATAGGTTAATCCCTTTTCCCATTTTACCCCTTCAGGGCCATCTATAGTAAATGTGCATGTTTAAAACATCAAAATGTGCATCTTTATTACCCTCTTTTAAGTCGGTTTTCCACTAGCGAATTTCAGTTCTGCGCGAAGCGACCTTTTTCCTTTGTCGGCATCCATTTTGCATGCAGCCCTTGAAAAGTCAAAACCGTCAAAATTGAGGTCGGCAAAAGAGGGCCGACCTAAATCTGACCTAGGTCGGCACATCTCGGCATTTCTTAAAATCTGTTCCACGTCTTGGAGCAATATTAATCACGCATTTACGAATCATTGAAATCGGAATATAACTGGAACGTTACCTCCAGCCGGAAAATTCGAAAGTTGGAGCCAAATTTTAACTCCAGACGCGCGAAATTTGATCTTCAAACATCTAACGTATATACACAATACCCGTCAGTTTTTAAACCTTACACCGTAGTGTGTTCAGTTAATCGAATTCGCTGACATTTTAAAAGCTATCAGCATAAAAAATTCTTACTTTGGTTGAATTAAGGTGGGCAAAAATTTGCATTTAGCCCGGCATTGCCGAATACCGACCTCGTTTTCGAGGACTGATTTTGCCACGTCTTGCTGACGTAATAAGTGATATCGACAAAGGAATTTTTAAACAAACAAATTTAATTACCTAATTATGATTTCAATAATATTATGTTTTTGGACTAGCTGCCAGAAGTGAAGATACTGTATTCAAAAAAATTTGAATTGCTGCATGTGTGGTTTCTTTGATGCATGCTATTCCTGATATTCGGTTTGAATTCAATTATTCAGGAGGTCAATTTTGGTTTCTTCAGTGGTTATCTTTAGTCAATCCAGTTTTGCCGACTGAGATAACAATTTGCCGATTAGCTGACGAGTGTGGGGGGGGGTGTTCCACCCCCACACACCCCCTGTAGCGCCGCCCCTAATCACCTTCCATGTAAAGGTTAATATAATGCGCAAGTA